GCTAGAAGCTGTTTTTCTTATGTTGCCTCCATAAAACAAAAAATCAGAACAAGATTTTTTTCCTAATTAATGTTTTGGGTTATTTTTAATGGAGGGTGCTGAATTGCATGCAAATATATATAGTTTTGAATATATTATAAATTTATGTATCTATTATAGAATTTATATATATTATATATGTATTATATACATTATATATTATATATATTTATAATATATAATGCATATAATGTATATTGTATATATTATATATATTTTGTATTATACATATATCTATTTATATGATGTTTTTCAGTTTTATACTGTAAATAACAAGACTTTATCATAACTGAATAAATTAAAGTTTTCACTTTCTAGGAAACTTTACTATTGCAAGAAACCTCACCATACTCCTAATGTTGTGGTGTTCTTATTTACTGAGCAATATTGTAAATTGTAAGAGTTGAGCACGTGTGTCTTTACAAGGCTGTATCATGGCTTCACCAAGGCAATGAAGAACTGAACTGTATTCTCAGCTACCTCTTCAAAATGTGAAATTTCCTTCAACACAGTTTAGTTTAGCTAAGGAAAAAACCAACTCATCCACAGTATATCAGGAAGCTGCTCTGCAACTGCAATAATGCCAGCAGAGAGATACTTGCATCTGCCTAGACATTTTCTGTCTCTATAGTGATAGTTTAAATGTAGTTTGAATCAAATAATTACAGCACACTGCTGTGATTAGTGCCTTGAAACTGTTTTGATATGGAGACAGAATAAGCCACCTATTAGAATTTACTCTTCCCTTAAAAAATGTGAAGTATTTTCATGTTGGACTAATTGGCAAGTGAGGACTCATGTTTCCATGACTGGCTGCACCCTCTACAGCCTCCCATCACAGAATCATAAAAAAATGATAATGATTGTGTTCCAAGTATGAGCTCATGGTATTTTAAATACTGCACAGCATGTTTTCAAGTTTTCCCTTTCATCCAGTCCTCCACGTTTTGATACATTATTTATCGAGAAAATTCTTATTTCAGTAATGTTGGAATTCAGAGTATATTTTCAACCCTGTTCTTGCTGCTGCAGCATCATAATAAAAGACAGACTCAAGTTTTTAAGGGACTTGACTGAAACAGTAGTGTTTCAGTCATGGGGAAGGGACAATAGCAGAACTCTAGAAAGGCAGATTGGAGCACAGTTTGAAGAAGAGCACCAAATTCAGGTTGGAATTGGCTACGAAAGGAACAAACCCTAGAGGCTTATTCATGTCTCACTTCTGCTTATCTTCACTGGAGTGCTCCATGAAGTTACATAGGCTGTGCTCAAAGGGCCTGTACCTTACGAAAGATAAATATTACCAAAAGAATGACAAATGCTCAGCACTTCTGCAAATTGTGTTGAATATATGCTGTAGATATGAAATCAATATTAATTACATTAAAACACATGTATTACAAACCAGTAATATTGAATCATAGAATGAGTTGGAAGGGACCCATCAGGATTATCAAAGTCCAGCTCCTGGCCCTCCAGAGCACCATCCCCAGGAGTCACAGCATGTGCCTGAGAGCATTGTCCAGATGCTTCTTGTGCCCTGTCAGGTTGGTGCTGTGACCACTTCCACAGGGACCCTGACCACCCCTTAGGTGAAAGATCTTTTCCTGATGTCCAACCTAAACCTCTCCTGACACACCTTCAGGCCATTCCCTTGGCTCCTGTCCCCGGTCACCCAGAGAAGAGATCAGTGCTGCCCCTCCTCTTCCCTTTGCAAGGAAGTTGCAGATCTGTGATGAGGTCTCCCCTCAGTCTCTGTTCTCCAGGCTGAACAGGCCAAGTGACCTCAGCTGCTCCTCATACAGCTCCTCTCAAGCCCCTTCCCCATATTTATTGTGCTTCTTTGGGCAATCTCCAAAAGCTTAATGTCTTTTTTATATTGTGGTGCCTAAAACTGCATGGAATATTCAAGATGAGGCTAGAGCAGAGCAGGAAAATCACCTTCTTTGGCTGCCTGGTGATATATTATTTATTCAAAAATAAAAATATTTTTTACTTTGGAAAGAAAAATAAAAATTATTTACTTAAAAAAATATAATTTAGCATTTTTAAATGTTCTGAATATTTATAAGGCCTTTTGAATCACTACTAGAAAACAGAAATAGATGAAGCCATCCCCTTGTGGATTTAAAATATAGATGTTTGCAGAATGTAATAAATAATTAGGTTAAAAATGTTGACAAACATTAATATCTGTATCTCAATGGCTGCAAAAGTAGTATTTTTAATGTGCTGTATTTTTTCTTTAGATTTTAGTATTGGCATTATACTCTATAACTCACATTAATAATTCACAATAGAGATTGCCCTACAACATGCATGCTATGGATTTACTTTGGGACTATTCCCCCTACAATTCCTTTAATGTTCGGCTCTCCATGCCTGACAGTATTATGTTTTTCTCTATTTGTTGTTCTTTTTAACCATCCCTGCAGATTTCTGTATTTCTTTTTGATGCTTTTTAAACTTAAATAGTTTACAGGGGTGCAGATTATAAGAACTCCATCACCTGCAGTTTACTAGAAACCCGGACCTGAAATATTGAGTATCTGTTAGCTGAGTGCTTGTTCTGCCTAGAGGATATGTTAGGAGCTCTGCATGAGTAAAGATGTTTTCATATCCGTATACTGCATACTCATTTGGAAGTTATTTATAGATGTGCTGTGCTGTTTCCATTTTCTATCCCTTTATCTCTCTCTCAAGATTACTATTGCTTTCTGCCTCCCTCTAAATGTGAGCATTTCTGTCATTGTAATTCTGCTGCTCTGATCCATTATTGTTCTACCTCATTTATTTAATACAAGTCATTAATTGAACTTCATACATTTGGGTAAAAGGAAGAAACATGATACAAATGGATTCAGTTTGAAAATTTGAATTCATTGTTCACTGCCAAGTGTTTGGGGAATATATGGGATTAACTTTGTGGTGAGTTAACCTCATCTCATTCTCCCTTCTTCCTTTTCTCCATCAAGGCATGATGCTGTACTTCAGCTGTAGCTGAACAGTCACCTTGACCTGTTTGGAATGCCACCCCTCACTGAAGGTGTGATTCCCATTGCTCCCTTTATTCATGGCCAACCCTACATCACCCCACTGTCATTTGTACAGCCAGATGATGTCGCAGACGTCTTTTCATAAAAATCCTTTCTTTAGGATTTTCCCTTCTGGGAAGCTGAGGCCCCAAAAAAAGAACGTAAACAATGGTTATCTGCTGCTGTGGAATGCAACAGGTGCACCTGTGATTGGCCCATCTTGGCTGTTTACAATTAATGGCCAATCAAGGACTGAGCTCTCTCGGACAGAGTCGGAGAGAGCTCCTTGTTATCATTCTTCTCTATTCTATTCTTAGCTTAGCTAGCCTTCTGAGAACTTTTCCTTCTATTCCTTTTAGTATAGTCATAATGTAATATATATATCATAAAATAATAAAACAAGCCTTCTGATCATGGAATCAACATTCTCGTCTCTCTCTCATCCTGAAAACCCTTGTGACCACGGTCACAAGATGATAAACTGGATCATGGACTAATCTGGCTAAAAAAACCCCAAACTATCAAAAAAAAGAGCAAAAATCAGTTGGCTCAGCCAGATGTACTGCACTGCCATGCAAATCTGGGAAAAGAAAGTGCAATCACACTTAGCAGCTGCCCATATATCTTGCAGTAAAGCAGCCATGGAATTGTGTCATTCAGGCAGTAGTCCTGGGGGATGGGGGGGAAAAACTCTATTGACTGCTTGAGCTAGAGATCAGGGCTCCCCTTTTCACAAGTTTAGGTGTCTCAAAGTTACATCAGCAAGGTGTTAAGGAACATTGGACTTGCATGAAAAAGTTTTTTGCATTACAGTAGACAAAAAGCCTTTTCCAAGACAATACTGTGAAAATCCCATTTTATTTTTATCACTTAAGAAATATTCAGCAGCCCTTATTAAGGTGAACAGAGAAATACTAATGGAAAACAAAATCTGTCTAACAAGATTTAATACGTGGGAGAAGGGGAAGTGACGCAGTACTAAGTTCATCTCAGCTTACAGTAACAAATTGTTTCAGCAAAACTACATGAAGGAAGGAATTTGTCTGAGTTCTTGAAACAGTGGGAGAGGAAATTGAGCTGCTGGAGGTTGAAACAAATTGGTTTCTGGGGCTCTTGGGATGTCATGCCAGCCCTGTGAGCAGTACACTGTGCATTGCCTTTGATACTAGTCTGTTTGTAAAGAGAATAAAATACCCAATGACTTTATCTACTCAGTTTCTTCCAAACAGGAAATAATCCCTGCTAGAGCCATAATTGTCCATAGGACTTGAAAGTGATGGCAATATGGAGTACATTAGTATAATCACAAACAAAGCATTTTATGATTTTCAGCTGAATGCTTTCAAAAAAGCTGGACACAACTTTTCCAACAGTCTTCTTTCAGAAATAAAAAGAAACCCATTTGAACTTGGCCAGTTCAAAATGTACTCTTGGCAATGGAAACTTTGAAAGATGCAGCGTATTTGGCATAATTTCTATCTGTTGGCTTATATTACTTGTAATATAAGCATTTCAAACAAAGATAGGATGTTTTCTTAGCTCCTTTGGAATGTTGACATTAAATCATCCCTAAGACTAATTCTGATTTTGGAACCAAAAAGCAATCAGTAGTCAGAAGAAAAATATGAATATCTAGTTAACTAGAAGGGTAAAAGGACCAGGAAAAATGAGGAGTATTAAGGAATGCAATGTTATTTTGGGGGAAAGAATTTCAGAATGGGATCCTATGGAATATTTCTGGATATCAGTCTTAGCCTTGTGAAATATTTGGGAATTTTAGTTAATTAGTTAAATTTTATAGTATTGTTTTCTAGTTACATGTATAAGTCAAGCCTATATAATGAATCTTAATAGCATTAAATGCTTCTATAAATATTTTTAAATTCTTGTGTGCATTGAAATACTTCATTACATTAATATTAACAGGAGCACAAGTGCCAGATTCTGCTCCCAGTCATGCTGGAATCATGCAGTTCACTGGATGGAGATATCCCACTTGCAACAGGATCACTGTAAGTAAGACTGCATCATGCTTTTTTTGCCATAGTCAGTTAAATAATAACTCAAATATGATGTAGGCAGTATGGATTCTTTTTCACCATAACTAAGATTAAGGTTCCATATAAGTGCTCAGGTTCCAGGGGAGAAAAAACATTCAAAATTGTGTAAATTTTTTGTTAAGGACAAAATTAAAGGAGCATTCCCTACTATAAAGAGGGGGGGATTTTTTTTTCTCCCACTATTGATACATTATTCATCAATAACTTATTCTTGCTAGAACTTCTGCAATTAAAGAAATGTCAGGATTTACTCATACATCTTTTGAACATAATACTGTATTAGCAAAATATAATAGAAAATTATACAATATTAAAAATGGAATATAAAAAAATATATATAATCAAAATATAATACACGTAATTAATATAACAAACCACATCAAAATAGCAACCCTCCCCTCCTTCCCCTGCTATCACAGAATGTGGCATCATTTAAAACCACTGAAGGATTTGTGTGCAACAGAGACATTGGAGACAAAGTCACCCGTATGTTCTTGGTGTTTCTTACTTAGATTGAAATGTCAGGTTAAAATTCACAAAAGAGAAGAAGCCCAGCTGCTCTCAAAGCAGGAAGAGGCAGGGCCTGCTTCACACCTCGACCTGGCAGCCTCCTTCTTAAGATAAATGGGGGAAAAACAACAGAAAGCCAGCACTTCCATAGGAACATTTTACAGTTTTTGCTCTATACTTTTTGCACAGAAATGCAGAAATGTAAATTTCTCTTCAGAATATGTTTTCAAGAACTTTTAAACAGGTTGGTAGTTTGATGCACATACATCTTCCATTACTGAAACAATTTCATATGATGTGGTTTTCAGATTACTAGCAGGTAGCATTTTGTTTCCACACAATCAGACAAGAACAATAGGGAAATGTGGAGAGCTCTTCTCAGTGACAGAGAAGGGATACAATTCTTCAGTTAATTTACAAGAGTCCCTTTTTTGACAACATATTTACACATACATTTGTATTTTTAAAATTAATACTGTATTTAGTTTTGACGTAATAAATACTTCTTTCTTTAAATATATTGCTTAGGATAAAACAGTGCATTTAAATAATATTTGCTCTTTGTCCTTTTTCAGTGTTTTGCTAACATGTCTAGAATTGTTCTCACTGTTTTCCTAGAAGTATTGCATTCTAGTAACTTCTAATATTTTTTAATATTAGTCATTTTAAGTCATTTTACTAAGTGCTTAAGAGGAGGTTTCAATGAAAACCTTCAAGTAAGAATGTTTTGAGAGTAGGAAATATTCTTGCTGTCTTTGTGAAGAGCTTTGAGACTCCTTGTCTTGTCATTCATGTTCCAAACCAAACATACTGGTTTTCATGGGCTAAGACTTCTTGTTTCCTCAGCTTTGTTAGTAATATCTTGTGGAAAAAAACACTGATTTTAGCTCTGTTCTATTCATCACACACACAAAAAAAAAAATCCCTGCCTATATACAATGGCAGAATGATTACAGCCATTTCCAGCAGCTTACATTGTAACAAGATTATCTATATATGGCACAAACCCACATTTCTGTAATAACTGGAAAAATGGAGGAGGGTAGAATTCATGCCTAAGTTTATTTCCTCCAGTATTTCTGTATGTGCTCTGTGAAGCTTATTTACTGATCTGTTTGCTGCTGCTGATGCCAACATTTTGAGCTATCTACCAAAAGGAGAAAAAAGAGCAAAGAAAAATTTGAGACAGAGAATCTAGAACAAAAATGCAATAAATTTGTTACCTAACAATAAATATAAGGGGGCTTACACATCCAGCCTATCCTACCTAGAAAAGCTAAATTACGTTACAGTACTTTGATTTGTTCTTGCAATTCCTCCTGTGTTCTGTCTGTGCACTTGCATTTAAATTCAAGAACCTTTACATAACATGTTGCAATAATTTGCTGCCTATTAAAAAGAAGTTATATCTATAAATGTTTTCCAAGTAATACTATCGTTCCCAGCTGTAAAAAAAACTGGTGTAAGCTTCTTTAGAAAGAAAGCAGTCATAAATTGAAAAATTAACAATTGTCTTTAAAAAAATCGTATTGGAATGTCTGTTCACTTAAGAGGTGCCCCTGTGAGTTCATCATCTTCCTTTTCCTTTTTCTTCTTGCCTTTTAAATCTCTTTATTGAAATTGGAAGCAGTGCATTGATCATCTTGAATGATCAGAGCCAGTAATGAGTATTCAAAAAGGTATTTTTTCATATACCTCATACCTGTAAGCTTTCTTTTGAACACACAGACATAATCTGGATTTACTGCTGTCCTCAAAACATCCTTGTGGGTTTTCATTTTAGCTTTGCAAGGAGTGCCCTTGGTCACAGAGTTGATCAGACTTAACATACATTTTGCTGCACAGTAACACTCTGCCTTTTACAGTCATAAATACTGTAACTATAGTTTTAGTCTCCTTTCACTTGAACTTAATTCTAAAAAAGAAAATACAAACAATGAAATGTATAATGAGCTAGTGGTTTCCTTAGAAAGACTTAATACTGTCAATGTTTTCTGAAAGTTGTACCTTAATTATTCATAGATATCTGTAAGAAAACATGTTTTAGCAAACAACATGCTCTTAGATATACCTGGCATACTAAATGATTATACTGTGATGCAAGGAGTTCCCTCCAAAATGGACTTCAGAGCCCAAGGCACCTGTGAACACAAAAATTTTTTTATTTCTGGATTCCTCACATCCTCAAATTCCTCTGATCAAACCTGCTACTTTTACTGGGTCTTGCAGTGACATGAAGTATAAAGAGTACACAAAGTCACCCCAAAGCTTATGATGCCTCTTTAACAGAACATACTCTGGCTGTCACATCTGGTAGATGGCAGGTATTTAAATGACTGCAGTGTTACTGCAGAGTCCCAGGGCAGTAATGTCTTCTTTAAGTTGCTAATAGTTTAATATTCATGGTATTTTCTACTTCTTTTGTAATGTCTGGTTCTTGACACACATAACAAACCTCCAGTGCTAATGTAAGTTACCACACTGCTCCTTTAGAGGTTCTACTGCAAGGCAGGACCCAGATGCTTTTCTCTGGAGACTTACTGTTAGGTCCTTATCTGGAATAATGTTTGAGATGTGTCTATATTATTTCAAGGTCTTCTTAATTTTGATCTTCAGGATGGAAATTTCAGTGTTAGGGTTGGTGTGATGCTGCTGCTGTCTTTTCTATCATCTTTTCACTATTGGGTCCTGGCTGTGTATGTTTGTCTGAGAAAACTGTTCAAATGTCACCACATTGAGCCATGGCACAGTACTATTTGGGACAAGTATTCCTGCACATTGGATTGTGAAAAGAAAATTGAGCATATATATTAAATAAGGCTGTTCTCCAATGTGAGTTAATAAAAATCCTATTTTGATATGTGTGGATCACATCTAAACTGTCCACCATTATTGCAGCAGTCAGAGCAAGCCAACTGCTTGATCGTATTTCACTTCTTTTAGTGTAGGTCATTTTATAAATAGCATTATTGGTCAAGTTGTCAGCAAGATTAGACAAGCATTCAGTGGAGTTCTGGGTTACACATTACTGGGTTCAGGCAAACTGTGTTTGGTACTAGATGATTTACTTAATGTATTGTGACCTTGTGTTCTTGAAAACCACTAACATTTTCATCTCCAGACTCATGCATAACCTTGGAACTAATTTTATTAGCTATATTACATATGCCCTGACTGTCCCAAAAATGTGTATGTACAAATATCTCAGCTCTTGTATTTCCAGCATTTGCAATTGCTAAATCCTGTTCCGATCCTAGCCAATCAGCAAGGACAATCTCTGGTTTTACTCTCAACTAGCACCTCAGATAAAACAGCATATAGGAAAAAGATGCTTCTGGAGATCATGCATCATTGGCATATTATATGACTAGTTTATTTCTCATACCTAGAAATGATTCCTTCACCCTGACAACCCAAAAAAGAATGTATGTCCCTATGTCTGTCATACTTGATTCTCAATTTTGAGCTGCAATGATCTGATAAATTAGTTTTGTCCAATTGATGTTTTTATATTTTTTACTGGCATGCTTCAGATATATACTTTGAATCTTATATACATCAGCTGTAAATCTTTTAATTTTTTATTTTGTTGTTTTAGCATTTTAGTAATTTTAAGATTTTGGGATAATCTCTGCCAAAGTTGTGCCGTATTTGGAACAGCTCAAAACTGCAGTTTATGTAAGTTCTTCTTCTGCCAGGTGTACAGAACATGCTCCTTCATGTTCATGACAGACTCTGACAGGCTTAGAACCGCCTTGCTTTAAGACTCATTCCTGCAAGAAAATCAGTTGGTAGTAAAGCTGAGTGTAAATGTATGGCATGATCTCTACATCCCAGCAAAGACATGTGCAGTGCACAGTGTGCATCCAGGAGATTCCTCCACTTTAGCTACAGGGATATTCCCATAAACATCATTAGACTGCAAAGGAGAACTGAGTCCTATGTACTGTTATTTCTTTCTCAACTGTAGTGTTTCCTTACACACTTTGCCCCATTGATCCTGAGTTCTGTTTGTGTTATATCCAAAAGTGCAGCTGGGTCCTTGATTGCTTCTTAGCAGAATTTGCAGGCCAAGCTAGAGCAAATGGTTACATACCAGACACAACATTCCATGTCCTTGTGTGCAGGGTGAATGTTCAAACTAGCACCCACAATAAAGCAACAAAATGGACCAAAAGCCTACACCAAACCCTTATAACCTGTTCTGCCAAAACACCTCTGTAACTGAAAAACTAAGGAGAATTAAACAGAGCAAATTCTAGGAAAAAAACCTGTCAAAAAGTGTTCAAAAGCACACCCCATATGGTAGCACTGAGAAGAATAAGCTATGCTTACAATACAATGCAGACACAGACAATGAAATGATTTGCATCTATGTGGCACACAAGTGCTAAATAAGCCTCTACCTTCCCTATGTTCACCACCTTGCAGTGTCCTGTTCTTTGAAGCCCCTGCCAGCATTTGCAGTCTTAGTTCCTGTCTATATTTAAGAACCTTCATAAAAGCCTTTCATAGAAATGAAGTATTGGCAGCTCTTAGGAAACCTCTAACAAACACTTTTGTATTTTACAGCTACAGCTTCACTCGCTTCTGATCACAAGGCCACACACCAGAGCTGAATTCTTAGACTCAAGGGTCCTCTGATATTCAATATTCTATCCAGCTGCCTTTATTGCCTGTCAGACTTCCCAGGAAGAGCAGATGCTGTTGCTCATTTTCTCTCATGTTGTCCTAGGCTTTTTTAAGCAAAAAGAGAATCCTTGGGCTTTCAGAAGGGGATCATTAGTGAGTAACTCTTCATTTTGGTTCTTAGAAAAGAAAACTGTGAGTCCATTGGGTATGTCTTACCTGTAGAAACTCTTCACCCAAAATGATAGAATATTTTCACATCAAAAAGTGGCTTATCCAGTGTTTGTAGCAAACCTTACAGTTAATTTCTCTGTGAGACAAAGAAAAAATATTCTCTATAGCTGGTACTTCCTTCAAAAGTAAGCTTTGTGAGTATTGGATCACCCAGGAGCTGCAATATACAAAGACTGTAATACAGTGGTTTAAGCTTCTTTCTATTTTTCCTTACTGGTAAAAAGGCATCTCTGAAATAATCTGCCTCCTACCAATGTCCTGTTTCAGACCTTGTTTCAAGGAAAAGGCACCCAGTCAAATGAGGTGGCTTAAAAATACATCAGGGGCATCTCAGTAAATACCTACATGCAACCTTCTTAAGCAAAGACAAATGTGCACACCAAGGGGAACACAGAACTGCCACAGCACGGCTGCCACCTCATCCTTTGTGGTGTGCCCCAGCCTCCTCCCCATGCGTCTTGGACTCCCTCACCTTGGGATAGCTGATACCCAACTTGCTTCCTTCTTAAGTCAATCTTGCCCAGTCCAGCATTTGTCAGGAACAAACTGTGTAGGAGCGTGTAAGCTTAACTAAATACTGTTATTCTTGAGTACCATGATCATTTTGTTTTACAGCTTTTTTCATGAAGAGTCCAGAAATTTTGAAGAAGAGTAAGCTCCATTATATTACTGTGCTAATGTACTTAAATTTTCATTAATAATCTGAAGCTAATGGTATGCTGGGTCAGCATCTTAATTTTCCAACCTTAAGGCTTGACTATTCCAAAACACTGGAGTTATTAACTAGATGTGGAACAAATCTAATTCTCTTAGATCAGAATTCACGTGATATTAGATATATTCTGACCGCATAGTGATAAAAGAAAATAGTGTGCAGAGCTGTACTTGGTGCATTCATCTTCATATTACTTTGGGGATGATTTTTTCCCACTTAAGCTTTGAGTTTGAAGAACCTCCCACAAAATGCAAATAAAAGGATGAGGATTCAAATCTAATCTATCATTTTTGTTACCATTAACAAGCCTCTGATGTCATCAAAGTTATAACAAGTGGTTTGGATATATTATGCATCATCAGATAAGAATTCAAGCATATTATATTAAAAAACATTTAATTAGTATCTGGAATAATGTTAATTAATAGACATGAATCAAATTTTTTTTGGTAAAGATCTCCACACAGCATAATATTGACTTATTACTATGAATAAACTAACATGCTATGATCCCCAAAATGTACAGAAAGTTTAGCCAAGTGCCCTTATAAACAGCAAAGATGTCAGACACCAGTGTGAAATAGCATTGTCGAATTCCTGGGTATCTTCTGGTTTTGGCTGGTTTTTGACCATGGGCTATTATTGCACAGGCCGAGGACAGATAGTTGTGATTTGTGTTTCTTCACAGCTACTCACAGCTTTCTGAACTGGAAAATTGCTGACTGGACAGCAGCCAGCAACTGCCTAGGACTGTGCTGGAATGGCCAGAAACTTGGGAAGGTGATCATTAATCTGTGCCCGTGCTGCTTGGGCAGATACCAGGCTCCCTCATGACCTGCCTAGGGCATTGAGGAATTAAGATTTCTGACAGAGGCTCAGTGTTGCTCCCTCACAGATCTGAATGCACAGGCAGGGCTGATGCCAAGCACTCAGCCATCAGCAAAGGACACAGTAAAGAATCCTGAATAGAAGTGAATATATGAGCAGAAAGGAGTTGGCAGATGTCATTGCTTAGTTTTGTTTCTTTGCCCCAGCTTCCTACAGACAATATTTTTTTTAACCCTTATTATGCTTTTGAACGCTTTCCCTGTGCATGTTGTCAGCATTATAAAGATTTTTTTTGTGTATTGGTGTTCCTTTTGTTCATGTTCCAGCCTACCATAGGGAACACTAAGTTTTCTTCCTAGTCTTTGAGCCAGAGAAAGCTGCAGATGCCTCAAATGCAGTGTCCTCAGCCTTCCTACTAAGTACACTGTTGTGCTTCTCTGTAACATCCCAGTGCTTCAGGGGATTTAGGCCAAGTGAAAAGGAACAGAAAGCTGAAACTCAATTTATTTTGAGGCTGGACCACTGTCACCTTGTGAACTTGCCCTGAAGCTCATATTATATCATTAAACATGTACGAGCTTGCAATAGTCTGTTGTATCTGAACAATTGATTAAATGGATTCCACAGAGAAAACCTGGAGATTCAGGCACTTTGGACTTGAAGCAATTGCATGTGTGCAGCAGGAGTTGTAATTCCTTCTCTTAGGCATAAGATTTGAAAATAACTTTTCACAAAATGAAGCTCACAAAGGGGAACACAGGATTTATTTTTTCTTGTATTAAGATTCATTTTTTTAAGCAGTTGTATTAATAAGGGATCACTGGAGACATTCACTGTCTCTAAGTCTCTAGTTTTAGGAAGCTGTTCATTTGATCTTAGAAAATGTTAAGCATTACTTGTGATCTTTGATCGCTATATTTTAATAAAACAGCTCAACCCTTCTTTCTTCTATCCTCGGCTTCCCTGCTCCTGGAGTTGTTTTTCTAGTTCACCTTTTCTTCTAGTATTACAATGTATATATAAATAATTTCCATTGTCCAATTATTATTCCATAAATAATTTCCATTGTGGAGCTTTCCTTCCAGTTTGACTTCCCAGGAAATTGCATTCTGTATTAAATAAGGACTAAATTCAGTTCATTCAACAATCTCCACAAGGCAGAATATGTAACAGTGCAGTCAAGCCATGAAGTCTCCTGATTTGTCTCTCCAGGCTGCCTTGTACCTTACAAAAGTAGTGGTGTTGGGGTCTCTGCACATGTTGCTGCCTGCACACAGACCCTCACAGTAAAGACTAAGCTCTCCCTGGAGAACCTGGGCTGATGGAAAACCTGTATGTGTTTGCTCATAAAATAAATGGGAGTTCAAACTCAAGGAATGTTTGTACACAATCCTCTAACAAATCTGGGTAGATTTAAATCCAATTTGATTTGATTAATTTTGAATTGTAATTTCTGATTCCTGTTCCTGACTTGTGAAAAGGTATATATGAACAAATCTGTCAGGTTTTTTTCTGTTCTGTCCATTCAGAAATTAGGTTTTACTTCAATGATTTCTACATCGAGCATTACTGACAATAGTACTGAGAGTACATTACTGACATTTCCTTCTTATACTTTAAAAATTCTCCTTACTGCCCAAAATTTGCTTTTAAAAATGTTATTTTAGCTTTCCTAGTGTAAAGCATTGAGTATATTTATTTTTAAAAATATCATTTGAGCTGATACCATTATATCCATACCTTGTAAAAGTAGTATTTAGAAAGTTGTATGACATAAAGCCAGTGTAATATAAATCAACCCTGTAGGGTAGATTATTTTGTTGGAAGTACTCAGAGACCTGAGTTCAACATGCATGAAAAGATTAACACTTCTATTTTTAAAAAGTTTCTTTCTGCTTCAGAACAAATACCACATTACATCACAGTTAAGACTTTTTGAGGTAAAGTCCATGAAAAATAATCTGCTTAAAACCAAACACAGTCCAGAACCTACAGGCATCAGTAAATCTGTGTAAGAAAATGTACTTAAACACACTATTCTGACAATGGCATGGGGTATTTTCAGACTCCTTTAACATATGAAAACCAATAATTAAAAAATTTAATAATATAATTACATACATTTAATCACTTTATGTAATAGAATGACAGAACTTCACTGAAATGTTATTAGAGCTTTTAATTTTAAATTGCTTATTGAATGGACTGATTTTGACCTTTAGCGAAAGATAAAATTAACCATAAAAGCAAAAGAATAAGATCTTCAGGTACTGCAATTTGTGATAGTTACTACAAGGTCAGCAGAGCTTTGAAAGTTTATCACTTCTGTCTACTCAATTAATTCAAGGCATCTGTTTGGATTCTAGATGTACCAAGAGACCTAGTGCAAATGAAGTAATAACTACAGAGATAATATTTTTTATTATTTTTTAAGCACTGAAGTTACTCCTGAGTTTTGTATTAAAAACACATTATCTGTTGTTCTTAAATTCTGTCTATACGGTAAACCAATTATAAACTAAATTTTTAATGTATTATATTTTGCATATCTAACTTCACTAAAAAGAGGATCCAGAAAACTGCAGTAATTTTTACTTCATCATTTTAAAGCATCCTACTGGAATGGCCAGTGGACAATTTTGTTTTCTTGTGGTTTTCTGTTTGTTGCAGAAAAGCTCTCTCAGGACTTGCTTTTGTGAGGGCTCACTAACATTCAGTCACTGCAGTCAGTAAAGGCAGTAGTGCCATGGAGCTGCAGGACAGAGGTGAGTGCAGCCCCTCCCTAAAGCTGGGGCAGTGATGTGTGCCCAGTGGGCTTCAGCGCCTGCCTGCTCTCACCTGCTCTCCTGCAGCCTCCTGTGGCACCAAAGAGCCACCTGGTCTCAAACTGCCTCGGTGCTGCAGATTCAAGCACTGCACAACTGAGGATTGCTTTGGTACTTGGTTAATCCTGACACACAGTTTACATGCACTGGCCCTGACAGGAAATTGCAGCATGATTTGGTACCTGCCATTTTGGTGCCTCGCGTAACATCTCTAAACATGAAAATCCACACAACTTTGATATTTTAAAGAAACATAAACATCTGGCTTTGGAACTGAGACTGGTCCAATGGTTAAAGCAAGACTCAGGATGTAAAAAGAAAGACTTTGAATAGTTTCTCTTGAGAGGTAAAAGTACAGTAATTGCTAGTAAAAAGAAGCAGAGGAAGGCATATAGTTATAAAGACAGAGCTTAAGAGGTAAATGTTTTCAGACGTTGATCTTGGTTTACTGCTAGCACCATGGAGTTTTTCCAAATGGGAAATACATTGCAGTCTATATTTTAGATAAAAGATGTGGAAAGTAGACTGGTAGTAAAGCTGCCAGTATTATTTCTGCCAGGTGAATCTTGAGACTGCAGGCTTTCTACAGTGATGTTTGTTTGTTTTTCAGTCCACAGACACAGTGAGGCTGTGCTAAATAAAATAAGGTATAATTACCTGAAAAATTAAGATGTATCAGGACACTCTGAAATACACATACTATAAAATGTAGATATTATCAGAAAATTACCACCTCACTAAAAAAACCCTTTATGAATTCTGAGCACGAGTTCTTATTTTACTGGCTGAGATTTTTTTAGCATTCTCACTACTTTTAAATATCATGTTTACTGCAAAACATGTAGTTGCTGGGTTAATATAAGGGATTACAGTAATCAGTTATATTTAAATGGCATGTTAGTTTCCTTAGCAGCAGTTTATAATGAATTACTTCTAGAAAATGTGATTTAAATGAGTAATTTCTTTCTCTTACGTCAAAAACAAATTCAGACTAAATCCATTTTTGCCTTTTAGATTTTCTACAATTATTTTCATGAAGAAGACAGACCCCTACAACCCAATATAAATAGGCAGCATTTATCAATTAGATCTCCATGTACATTATCTAATACTTGAGTGTAAGCAAAATGTAAAAAAAAAAAAAAAAAAAGAGTAAGTTTCATGTCCTGTATCTCTCCCAAGAATAATTACATGGACAAATATTTCAGACTGTAGGCTGGTCAGTATAAAGTTACTTGGATCTATTCTTAACTCTTCTCCCTGAGGTTATCCTTCCCTCTGTGACCTCATTGAACTGTTCTTTTCCAAAACACTCCAGCTTATTTTTTAATAATACTCTGTTGTATTTATTAAGTGAAATCATGGCATGTTAATGACAGTAACAACTTTTTTCAGAAAAGCCAAGTTAAACTCGGCTATCTGGGCAACTACCAAGATTTTTGTTTCATTGGCAATCTTGAAATCTGTGCATCTGAATTCTCAAAGCAGTTTTCATTTTTCAAGCAACTAAATTCATACCACGCTTCATAACTTATCACCTGGCTTCCTTGCTGCAGAACAAGCAATTTTTCAGTTAGCAACCATCTTGTACCTTGCTAGCATATATGGTGCTGTATTATGGCTGGATAGCCAGTGCTGTCTCAGTTAAGAAACAGGAGAAAAGTCTTCACATCGATCAGGTTTTTTTATTGCTTCTCTTATTATTCTCTTTTAATTAAGTAACTTTGCATCCTGACATAATTATGGATTGTTATCTCATGTTCACTGCAGTGCTCTACTTTTTATACAGCATTTGACAAAATCTCTGCTATGTGTATTGTAGGGTTGCTCTTCTTCCTCAAGCCAATCTGCTGGCCAATTCTAACTTCCCACTGTCATCCTCAATAGCTTTATGTGCTAGTGGAAGGGAAATGAAAGAAATGCTGTTCATCATCAGAGTCTGGAGAAATCTTTACAAGGTTAGGAACGTTCATTTTTAGGCTCTTTTAGAGTGAATGAATGACACAAAAGTTGTTGTCAACAGTGTAAAGGCAGACCCTAAAACAATCCCCAGGAAGGCCTCTGAAAAGGGACAGTGAGTTTGGGTCATGTACAGCATTAGAGAAGATAGAGCGCAGCATTATTTGGGTTCAGAGAATCACCATCACATGAAAACAACATAAATATAGGGCCAAATTTCTTAAAAGTCCAATCTCAGCTACTAGTCTGGAAATCTAGAGTAGATGCAAAGATTACTAAGGTATTTTTGGAGTCTAAGAGGCATTATGAGTATTAATGGTGGACGTAGCCATTGGATGGTGCTGACAACTTTCAGCTGTAAACTGAGAAAGCTAGAATTACCTTTCCTTCTGGTAAAGACCTGGTGAATGCCAGCATGAGGCTTCTGACATTCTGTCTAATGCTATTTCCTTTCTAAAAGTAAACTTTTTCTAAAAATAATTAATTTTAGACTGTCACATCTAAATAGGAAGAAACTATGCTTGCTTTACATCTTCTGGTATTACACATGTGTAGCATTTGGCTTATGTTATAAGAAAATGTGGAACTTGAATCAATACCTTCTCCTTACTAATTCTTTAGTATTTTTGTTGCTTACTGTGAGACACAGGAGTAGTATGAAAATGAAATCTTGCTTATAATGAAGTGCTATTTGATGCTAAATGCTGTCCTATTGTTGCAGTATCACTCATAGTAATATTTTAATATGTGATTAACTCAACTAGGTAAATGAGGAATGTAATTAATGCTGTTCTTAACATGTAAAATAATTTAAGAGGATAGTTGAGTGATGGATCAGTTCACATACTTCACAGGAAACATGAACACAACCAGCATTATTGTCCTCCCCCTTGAACAGTAAGTCAGCTGATTTCAACATGAAACCCTCCAGAATTCTTTGAAGTACAATATTGCTTTCTTTTGGGGGCACTGTAGGTTAATAGCATACTTAAACCAAGCTAAAATAAGACAATGTTTCAATCAATTCAAATGACATAGAGCTGAAATTCTCAACTTAGTGTCTACTGAGACCTCCTTTTTCAGCTTGAGAGTTCTTATTTCTCCAGTCAAGCAAAGAAATCCACTTTCCTTGGAAATATGGAAAGTCTGTAATCACCCTAATGCCCTGACACTTGCTTGCCACTCCATTGAGCATTACGACTCTTTGGACTCATATCCTTTGAGCCATGATGGGAGTTTTCTTTTTTTTTTTTTCCCAGTTAACCAATTAGACTCTAGTGCAGATTAAAACAGTTGAGTGCCCATCCAAAACGAGAGCGAGATCAGTTCTTTGGAACACCTCTCCTCTCCTCTCCTCTCAGCCTGACTTACAGATGTTCAAGAACTCAGTTTTCCTGATCATTAGGTAGAGCCATAAAATCCATGGTGAACAGAATTGTTCCACTTACTGCCAAACAAGGCCATAGAGTGTAAGAGGTTTTTCCACTTGCCTCTCAGTTTACCTGAAGAAATAATTCTGCTGGCCAGGAGCTGGCTTACCCACAGTAGCTACTCTCAGAGACACATACTATCTTGGAAATGTATGTGGTAGTGATTTGCCCACCACAGGAGTCCACTTCTGTTGTAAAATAAATCAACATGTAATAGACTAATTCTTTTGAATAGATGTTATTTTCTTGGTTTGCAGAAATCATGGCCTCTTCAAGCTTGTAAAAAACCCTAAAGCTGCTAGCATACATACACAGAAGGCGCTACCTCTGATTTGTTACCTAGACACTGTCTTAAAACACAGACCCTGAAATGGGCAGTAGTCTCAGGCAACAGCTCAGCATTACCAACGAGCACAAGTTAATAAAAGTAGAAATGCCTGTTCTTTAAATGTATTTGTATATATAAAAATTTTACTTACATACATATGCAAAAATTATACTTAATATATATGCAAGTCTTACAAGAAGTGGCTGAGGGAGCTGAGGCTGTTTAGCCTGGAGGAGAGAGGCTCAGGAGAGACCTTATTGCTCTCTGTAGCGGCATGAGAGGATGTTGTAGCCAGGTGGGGATCAGGCTCTTCTCCCAAGGTTGCACCAGGGGAGGTTCAGGTTGGATACTGGGACAAGTTTCATGAGAAAGATTTAAATTGCAAATTGAAATTAAGTTGAAAGATTGATTATCAAGCAATGAAACAGGCTGTCCAGGGAAAGAGGTTGAGTCACCATCCTTGGAGATATTTAAAAGATGCGTGGATGTGGCACTTGGGGACGTGGTTTAGTGGTAAACATGACAGTGTTAGGCTGGAATCTGTGACAAACATCGTTTCCAACCTATATCTTTCTGTGATTCTATATACTTACACATATATCTATATCTATACATACCTATATATGATATATTTTTTAAAAATACACTATTTAAACATTGTGTTTAATATAAAAATTTGCTCCTTCCCCAGGAGGCAAAAATTTCTTAATCCTACTGAGTACAGGAAAGGTAGACCAGCACAGGAGGTGACCAGATGAACAGATAGGGACGGAATGGTAACCTACACAGCCAGTATCCCCATTTAATAGAGAAGTGGGGGTGTCATCATTACCAGCTTGTTACACCCCCATTTTTTTCTTGACTCTTCCTATTTTTCATGCTTTACTTGAGAATTGTCTGTTGCATCCCCTCATTTTCCTTCCTACTTTTTTCCCCTTTGAACTTTTTTGTCTGCCTTCTCTTTGACTTCAGTTTATCTTAAAGGATTCAAAATAGTAGCAGTGAACTTTCAACTACTGTCATTCATATAGGATCAAAATGATGTCAGAGGAGCTCACACCTCCTCTAACATTGTGTGTTTATAGACAATGACTTGACTTCTGGCTTCTCAAAATGTAAATGCTCATTATAAAGGGAAAAATATGTCACAAAAATGAGATACTAAAGATAGCAAGAGGCTTTACACTCCCCTCTTTACTTCTCATGCAGTTCACAAAAAGTGCCACATTTCATTTCACTCTAAACCTCCTCAGACTGGTCTAAAAAGATCTGGAATATTAAATTTGTGTCCTTTGGGTCATCCACGAGTGATCTGGGATTTTCACACATGTTATCTGTGAAATAACTAAGGAATACAGAATACTGTATTTATACAGAATATTAAGTCAATGTTAGTGTCAAAATAAGAAACTAAACAAAAGGAAAAAGGATCTTGAGAAACAAACCATGAAAACTGCATACCTATGTAATCTTTTATTCATTCATATATTGTGTTAAAGGATGTATAAAAAAAATCACATTTTTTTCTGTTCAAAATGATGATGAAGTTATCCATGTAAGGAGGTTTCTTAAGAGTCAAAGGATGTACATAATGTTGCTTCTTTCTGACTTTAGTAATCAAATAATTCCAAGGCACCTGAGCTCCTCATTTACTACTCTAAATTGTTGATGTGTTGATTTAAGATAGCATTATTGTCACCATCATATTTTGAACTCATTAACAACCTCATTTTCAGGCAACTGT